TCTTGGAACACAGCTCCCAGAATCCCCCGCCACTTTGACCTCTAGCTGTGTTGGCTGGAGGAATCTGGGAGTTGTAGTCTGAGAGTCCAGGCTCTCCTCTCGGGGACATCTAGAGAGGCTGCTTGGATGTGATCAAGAGGTATGTGCTGCCTCCCCCCCTGCTGCCTTGGTTTGGGATGGGACACATCTTAGGGCTTCAAGTCTGAAGTTGATATAGGTACCACTTTGTTCAGGTCCTTGGCTGACATTCTGTCCATTCCAGCTTGAACTGGGCAAGCAGAAATTTGGAATACTAGCTTTCCTTTAAAACACGCACACACTAGTCTTTACAGTTCCAGAGAGTGTTTTTCAGATGAAGAATAACTCCTCCTCCTTGAACCTTCACGGCAACTTGCGTGGATAAAATGTGACTATAACACACATGTACAAAAACCCCTGGCAATAAAATCTCAACAGCAGAATTTAGCACTAGCAGCTTCACTAATGGATGATTTCTCCTGGCCTGCCTGCCAGCTGATGCAGCCATATGTGGCAGGTCCCCTTGGCAGAGAGCAGTGTGTGCAAGCAACAAGATCCAAGTAATGCAATTGCCTCTAGCCAGTTACCTTTTGGCAGGCATCCTGTCCAGCAGTTAAAATGTAGTAAGTCTGACATTGTATTCGAGTTTTATCTTTCCCCAAAGGTTCTCCCCAAATCTACTTTTAAAACTGTGCAGTTTCCCTATTGGGGCTGTTTCTGAGTTGCCAGAGAATCACTGTTAAGGGCTAGGGTTCTGTTTGCATTGGTGTGTGTGTGTGTTTTGTTTTGTATTTATTTATTTATTTGTTCGTTGGTTTTTATTGTATACTTGTTTTTAATATTGCTTAGTTTAATACTGTTTTAAGGGGTGGGTGAGTTAGGGAATGATTATTTTGGATGTTTTTAATGTTGTAAGCAGCCCCGGTTGTGTTGTAGAGGGGCGGGATAAAAATATTTTTTATTGTTTATTATTATTATTATTATTATTATTATTATTATTATTATTATTATTATTATATGTATTTTTGAAAAGGGAAAGTTAGGACTCCAAATCTGGAAAGGCTTAAAAGGCAGATTTGGGGAAGGGTAGCATAGGAGACGTAGCCACATCTCGGTAGCTATGTCTCCTGGTACAGGAGCTTTGAGTACCCAGTTCCCTCAGTTGTTCCTCACAGGCTTTGGTTTCCAGAACTTGGATCATCTTGATCACCCTCCTTTGGAGACATCCAGCTTGTCAATATCCTTCTGGAGCTGTGATGCCCAAAGCTGGATACAGTATTCCAGGCAAGGTCAGACCACTCTTTGCTTGGTTTTTTAGTGACTCCCTTGGATGGAAACCGGACATGGGGACGCAGCACTGTGATCAAGAAGGAGGAGCTGGTGGGGACCAAGAAGAAAGGCAGGACATGGGGGCCCAGTTCTACCGTCCACAAGGAGAGACTCGGAGGAGAGGAAAGGTATGGGGTCTGAAACTCGGAGGAGCGGATGTTGATGGGGCAGTGGGAAAGGCTAAGGCTGGGGAGGAGAAATAAACTGCAAGACTGGTTGGAGCTTAAGACGGGCATTCCTATGGAAATGGACTGGAAAGGGTTCAAGCCTCCCGATCAGGGTCATTTTTCTCTTCTGTCTCTTTCACAGGTTGAAGTCCCTGGCTGAAGGGAGCAAGCAATGGTCCTCCAGTGCACCCAACCTGGGCAAGTCTCCCAAGCATGCGCCAATGGTTGGGGGCTTTGCTAGCCTCACAGAGATGGGTGAGCTGGTTTTTCATCTTATAGCCCTAGAGCAGGGGTGGGCAACTGCATGAAGGCCAGGGACCAGTTTGCCTCCTGAGACCTGTCATAAACTACCCCCACCTCCCCCAGCAAATCCATATACCTTTTTCCCCCTCTGCTCTCCTTCACAAAATGGTGGTAGGAAGGAATGCTGCATCACTTCGTGGCACCACTTTGAGAGGAACTGCAGAGGAATATGATAGTATTTGGGGATAGCATGGATCCTTGAAGAGAAAACATTGATCACCCCTGCCCTAAAATGGCATGGAACAATATGTCGATTTATTCTGGTCTGGGTTCACATCTTCTAACAGGCACCTGCTGTGTGGATTTGAAGAGATCAATGATTTAAAGTGTTGCTGATATCAGCCCTTTGTCTTGGAGACATGCACAAGTTAGAAATTTTTTCTAATTCAAGAGCACCCTCACTCCATCATCATCATCATCATTATTATTTTCTTACTGCCACCCCAATAGCTCTGTGGTTGCCCATCATAGTTTGTGAACTTGAACCTTTATACAGGCTGGAGTTTCTGGAGACAAGGGGAAGAGCAAAGAGGGTGAAAGGCTGGCATGCAGGAATGTGGAGACAGATGTAGAGAAACAGGGACAACTCCCAACACTGGAAAAATGGGGACTGGCCTCATTGTGACCACTTGCCCACTTCCCCTTGGAACCTGCCCACGAGATCTGGGTAGGGCTCCAAATGACCAAGATTGTATTTAATGCTGGCAGAAGATGCACAACAGGAGTGTAAAGCAGTGCCACTATAATTAAGGAAACGTCTGAGAGGACAACAACTGCCAGTTGGGCAGTGGCATGGCAGAGCTCTCTTGGTACACCTGATGGCCAACCAATGTCTGTTCAAGCTGGAAGGAGATAGAATGAGGGGTCCTCCAACAACTATTGTATAAGGAAGTATCCTATCCTTCCTTGGGCAGTGGCTTCCTCCATTGTGCAAGGAGGTTTAGAATACTTCTTTACACAATGAGAAAAAAAGTTCTTACCCTAATGTAACACTTCATTTATATATGTCACAGAGAGGATTGCCTGAATGTATCTGACTCAAATACTAACTATCTGTTCCTTTTTCTCTCTACCACCCTAGAGGAGTACACGGAAAAGGAAAGCAGCACACCTCACTCACCTTATATGCCCCTCTTGCCACCACCAGCAGGTGAAGGAGATGCCAGTCTGCGTTCCCTGCCACCCAGTTTGGAGTGGCCCAAGAGGGGCTCAGCATCCACGCATCATCCTCGTCGCAGTGAGCTTGTGCTACTGGGCTGTGCCTCCATCTTGGCCTCCATTGCCCTGGGCGCTGAGCTGGCAGAGTTGGCAGGCGAAGGGTTGAGGGCTCGTGCTGCTTCAGGGCCCCCCAGCTCTGTTACCCTCCTTTCCCTCTCCTCGCTCTCGGACTGCAACTCCACCAAGTCCCTTCTGCCTTCGGACAGTGACGAAGCCCCTATGTATGAGTCTCCTTGCCTCCCTGAGAGCCCACCACCCACTCCTCGCTACAATCCCCTGGTGGATGTCACTGTGGAGAGTTTCAAGAAGGACCCCCGCCAGTCACTCACTCCCACCCATGTCAGTGCCACGCAGGCTGTCAGCAGGGGTCACCGCCGGACACCATCAGATGGGGCCATCCGTCAGGGTCTGCAGGGTACGGACTGCCAAGGTAAGCCCCAGTCCCTGAGGTTAACTGAAAAGCTCTACTGGGGTTTAAACTGGGCTTAGTCCATCTGAAAGCTTCCCTCGGTTTTAAGTTGGACTCAGCCCCCTGAATGCTTCCCTCAGATTTAAACTGGGTTTAGCCCATCTGAAAGCTCCTCTGGGTTTTAAATTGGGCTCAGCCATGTGAATACTTCCCTGGGATTTAAATTGGGTTTAGATTATCTGAAAGCAACTCTGGGTTTTAAATTGGGATCAGCCATGTGAATACTTCCCTGGGATTTAAATTGGGTTTAGACTAGTTTTAAATTGGGCTCAGCCATGTGAATACTTCCCTGGGATTTAAATTGGGTTTAGACTATCTGAAAGCAGCTCTGGGTTTTAAATTGGGATCAGCCACCCAGCTGGGTTGAGTCCATCTGAAAGTTCCCCAGGAATTTAAATTGGGCTCAGCCCTCTGAAAGCTATCCTGGGGTTTAAGATGAACTCAGCCCATCCCAAAGCTCTCTTGGGCTATGCTTCCTATTGAGCTCAGCCTACCCAAAACCTCTTCTAAGGTTTGATTTGAGCTCTGCCCATCTTGGGCCCAAGTGGAAATAGGAATGTAAAAAGGAAAAGAAAAGAGGGAAGAAGAAGTGGGTGCTGAGTACCATTCCATTTTTGTCTGGGAACGAGTGGACTCAGGCATAGCTGAGCCTCATATTATTCACTGGAGAAAGTACTAGAGCACAGAAAGCTTTCTTTTGGGGACTAATTTCCAAACTCTCTGAGCCAACACAACCATACTGTTTGGGGATCATGGGAGCTATGGTTCAATAAAGTTGAGTTTTCCAAGCTCTAAAGTAAACATACGGATAAGGGACTCTCCCAAAAGTGACATGGGATGTAAATGGGAGGGCAGGCAGTGAAATTGTTACACCCCAGAGAGATAGCTACAAGTGGGCAAAATGAGGGCCCTCCCTCATTTTGACCTCCCAAAATATGAATAACGTCCCCTATGGAATTTTCGTTCAATCCCCAGATTCCTAGCATTGCAAAGAGTGAAACATTGTAGATTGTTCACACCTACAACTCTCACACTTGCTGTGTTTATGTTCCCTTGGTATTAGCCTGCCTCTTTTCTTTGGATCCCTAAACTCTTTTTCTAAATGTTAAACTGAGATCTTACATTACTGTAATGCTAGAAATGTAGGGACTGAAGGAAAATTTCATTTGGGGAGCAGAATTCTTATGGGGGGAGGGAAGAAATACCCTCATTTTGTCTTCCTGTAGCTACACTCCAAGGTTGGCACCTGCATAATATGCACAGTACAGGTATATTGGGATTTTGTTTAATAAAATTAAATATATTGGGATTTTGTTTATTATTATTTATTATTGTTGTTGTTGTTGCTGTTGTGTGCCTTCAAGTCATTTCTGACATAACGACCCTAAGATGAATTTATCATGGAGTTGGCAGAGTTTGTTCAGAGGGGTTTGCCCTTACCTTCCTCTGAGGCTGAGAGAGTATGACTTGCTCAAGGTCACCCAGTGGGTTTCCATGGCCAAGTGGGGATTCAAACCCCAGTCTCCAGAGTCATAGTCAAACGCTCAAACCACTACACCGTGCTGGCTCTATATGAGGATTGCACCCAACGAATATAGCTGCAGACAGTGTTGATAGTTAGAAAACTATTGGAGGTATTTCCTTGTTCCCCAAATTCTGTAGGTTGTTGGTGGGGGCAGATTGTGTGAGAAAGCAAAGGACAACTGCAGCTTTTGTCCCACATTCACTTTCTTCTCTTCCTCTTTGTTCTGTCCCACTCCTCACTCCCCTTTTAGGGTTCCAGGATATTTTGCCCTTCCCACGCCTTCCGGATCTTCCTTCCCCTAGCGCCTCCCAAACTGGCCACAAGGCCTCAGATCAATCCTCTCTGGATGCCATGCCAGTCCAGCGGCCCCGGACACTGGCCTTTGCACCCCGGCCTCGCCCTGCCCCAGGCCGGCCCCGCATTGACCCTTGGAAGCTCATCTCGCTGAGCCGGATGCCAGGGGGCAACTCCTCACCAGGGGAGGCCACCAAAGGAACAGCAGCCCTCCGCCAGACTCTTCTGGACATGGACATGGAAGGGCAGAACCGGGACAGCACTGTGCCATTGTGCCGGGGACAGACCCCATGCTGCAGCTTGGAGACGGACGTATCTCATTGACCCAGCGGCTCCCCTTCAGACGGATCAGTGCTATCTGCCCTGGCATCTCAGAAGACCTAGAATGAAGCTGTGTCTCTCAGGGTTGCCAGGTTGGATACGAGAAAGGACCTCTCTAACTTCAATCCTAAAAAAAATCATGGAGCAGGACAAGGAAATATAAAGCTCCATCAGGTGGGATGAAGGCACCTTTCCTGCCCGTCTTTCCAAAGCCCAACTTTCAGCCGTTGCCATCCCTCTCCCAACATGGCAATTGTCCAAAGGGGAAAACAGGCAGAGGAAATGTGCCTGTTGGTTGTCTATAGTATTATGAAATCTGATTGTGTATTGGCTAAATTGTCCCAATGAGTGAGAAATTAGACTTTTTGCAGTGTGATATCTCAATTTTTAGATAGCAAGGACATTAAAAATAGCTTGGGCAGGCCCTTAGTTGGGTGCTACACCATGCATTTCCACTGTGGAGCTAACAGCCATTTTGAGAGGGAATGACTGCAGCTGAAAGGTAGGGTTTGAAAGCTGAGGGAGGACAGGTGCCTTTGTCCCACTTGACAGAGGCTTCACATGCCTCCTTCTGCCCCACGATCTCTTTAGGATTAAAGTTGCCAGAGCTCCCTCCTGGATTCAACCTGGCAACCTAGTTTCCTGAGATTCCAGGATGCATGCCAAGAGAGAATTTTTGAGCTGGGAGGTGGGAATGTGCTGCAAGCACTTTTATTTATTGACTGTGGGCATACCAAGCGGAACTCTTTTCCATGCAATGAGATGGCTCAGCCAGTTGGGAGGGCTGGGCTGGCATTGCATGCTCTGTCTGTGTGTATGTATGGCTGTGAATGAGGGTGCTGATGCGTATGTATGCCCTGGTCTTCATAAGTAATGTCTGATCCAAGCATTTGTGGTCCTGATTCTGTTTCCTTTTTAAAAAAAGAAAAGAAAAAAAGAAAGAAAGATGTGTGTCTGAAAAGTAAAATGCCTTGTTGTCAGTTGCCATCAAGTCAGCTTTGACTTAGGCAATCCTATGAATGGGAGATCTCCAATAGTCGTCAACAGCTTTGCTCAGGTTTTGCAACCTCAGGGTAGCTGTGGTTTCCTTGATAGTCTATCCACCTGCAATGCAATCTTCCTTATTTCCTACTGTCTTTCACTTTACCAAATATTAGCATCTTTTCCAGTTAGTCATGTTGTCTCATAATATGACCAAAGTACAATAGCCTTGGTTTATCACTTTGGCTTGTAGTTAAGAGTTCAAGCCTGATTTGCTCTTGGCTCTCTTCATTTCTCTTTTTAGCTGTCCATGGTATCTGCAGAACTCTCCTCCAGCACCACATTTAAAATTAGTTTATTTTCTAAGGGCTTTTACCGACTGCTAGAAATAATGGAGCTTGAGGCCACTTTAACTGTCCTGGCTCAGTGCTAAGGAATCATGGGAACTGTAGTTTATTGTGGCACCAGAGCTCTCTGACAGAGAAGGCTCAATGTCTCAGAAAAAAAGTACAATTCCTATGATCCCCTAGCACTGAGCCAGAACAGTTAAAGTGGACTCAAGCTCCATTATTTCTGGCAGTCTGTAAAGGACATTTTTTTTTTTTTACTGTCTAGCTTTCACAACCATATGTAGAAATTGGAAATGCAATGGCTACCTTCCTTTCTTTCTTATGCAGCAGCATTGCATCAAGGATCCTGGGTTTGTAAAGAGAAAAGTACATGTCCAGGGGCACAAGGGTGCTACTTTCCATGCTATGGGCCAAGATCCAGCTTCCAGATGTGCAGAGTACAATGCTCTGAACACATAAGTCCAACTCTTTCCACACCATCTTGTCAAGCCATTAAATAGTCAGGAAGGGGGAGGAAAATGATGGAAGGTGATCAAGCAACAGAGACTTTCTCCCTTTCTGGCTTCAGTTCTCTAAAGGGAGAGAAACTTGTTGTTTTTCTTTCCTCTGTTTAAAAGATGAGTGGACACTGTGGAGGGTGGGGGCCACATTGGGCCCCTGGAAGACTTTGGAGGTTTGCAAAGCCCCCCCACGTCTGCTCCTGCAAAAACAAAAAACCCAAACCAAATTCTTTTGCCCTCACACACTTGCTCTTCACCTCCTGTTTCAAAAAAGGCCTCTACTGGGCCTTGGGGGAGTGAAAGAACATATTTGGGGGCAAAACATTTTTTGGGAAAACCATTTTTCTAAAAATATCTCTCTCACACACATATATATACATATATTACTTCTGGGGTCCCAGGGGCATCCAAATGTAAAAGAAATACACTCCACATTTCCAAGAGGCCCATCTTTGTGTACTTGTTTGTGAGTAAAAATATCAACCCCCTGGAAGGCCTTAGGGGCTACAAAAATTGCCCTGGGGGTTATATGTGGCCCATGGGGACACACTTTGCTCACTCCTGGTTTAGAGGATTGCAGCAGGGATGGAAGGCTGTCCTGATGTGCGCTCGCTTCTCATCGTTTCCTCCATTCCCCTCCTCAGACACTGAACAACCACATCAGTGACTCATAGGGCATGCGCTGTTGGGAGAGGCAGGCTTTCCTTAGAATGTAGGGCAGTGATGGTGAACCTTTTAGAGACCGAGTGCCAAAACTACAACCCAAACCCCACTTATTTATCACAAAGTGCCGCATTCCTCTGGCTTTCTAGTAATGAACTCTGGTGAACTCTGTGCAGGGGTGATGGCACACGTGCCCACAGAAAGTGCTCTGAGTGCCCCCTCTGGCACGTGTGCCATAGGTTAACTGCCACTGATGTAGGGTGCTAACAAACAGCCCCAGGTGCCTTATAGCAAGCTGAGTCTCTGCCTCCAGGCAGAAAACAAGGCACATGCATGTGCAGGTATGTCACCAACAGGATTCCAACCTAGTTTTAATTTGTGGTTTTGTTACATATATATTGCAATCATGCTCCATTCTCTCAACCTCCAAGGACCTTGGGATGGCATGCTTGGTTCTTCCCCTGACCATTTGTATCCTCACAGCATTGCAAAATAGGCTAAGCCAGCAGATGGTGGCTGATCTACTCAGTGCTGGAGGAGTGTAACATTCCATCAGCATTCCTTTACAAAAGGTCTGGGAGTGTAATCCTGGCAACTGTGTAGGGCCGTTGTTCCAGCAAATCAGTGGCAATTTGGGACAGGGTTATGCTATAGTAACTATAATACAGCCTGGAAAAAGAATTTGCAAAATTTACATAATGTTTGAAAAATGGTTATGCCCCTAAGAGGAACCCAGGAAATGACTTTTTACCCAATGATGCATAAAGCCCAATGATGCATAAAGCCAAACCTGTGCCTTTCCTGTCTTACTCTAGCTCATACAAGGGTGGGAATCATGCCAACCTCCAATATTGTTGGGCTGTAAGTCCCAGCAGCCCTAGCTAGCATCGCCAGTGGTTAGGAATGCTCAGAACAGTAGTCCAACAATATCTGGAGGGTAGTGTGATTTCCCCTGCTCTTATTACTACATAATACTGCCTCTGTGTTGTGTAGCAAATTCCTGAATTCATTTACAGAAGCCAGTGGGGATTTTTCTTTCTCACACACATCTGTGCAGACATGCATATGCCTACATAAGATAAGAGGGTAGCCACAAATCTGCCACCTTGCCAAGGATTTGGCTGATGGAAATGGCACAATCCCCTCCACCTCCCTGCATAGGGGAAACAGTACCGGATACTGTCATCAAGGCATCAGAGAAATCTTGCAGCTGAATTCCAAAAAGACAGGTGACCAATTTCAGTTTTTATCTGATGGAGGAATAGCCTTGTGATCTTTAATCCAAGTCAGTGAAACGCAGCAGACAAAGGTACAAACTAAGGGGTTTCTTTCTCAACCCCTTCCCAAGGCTCCATCTCCCCCTCCTCATTTCCTTCACTGTAAATTCCAGTGTACAGAGTAAGCATCACCATCTCTCATCTTCCCTGCTGCATCCCAGTCACCATAGCAACAGCATCACGTTACCTGAAATAGGGCAGGCAGCAACATCTACTGGGAGGCAGGCAGCGGTCAGCTTCTAGGGTTGCTGCAATTGCTGAAGTATTTACACTTGGGAGTCAAACTCTTTGGAGATGCAAGTCCCTCTGTAAATTTCACAGTATCTCTCTTGCACCGTTCTCACCTAGATAGCGCTGGATGCATTTAAGATTGCTTGCTACTGATGCTTTCCATAAACACAAATAACAATGCCTTGAACACACATTTTCTTTTTTTCAAAATGAAGTTATAGATATATGACAGCACAACCACAGTGCCTCCTCAGTGTAGCTCTTCTGGCTTGAGCAGCTGTGAGAATCTCTCCATTCTGGATCACCTTTTCCCTACCTGTATGCAAAGGGATCTCCCCACACCCACTCCACAAAAGTACCTTTGAGACTTATGAGCCAAATAAGTTGTAGCATAAGCTTTTGTAGACTTGGTCTGCTTCCTCAGA